GTGTTTTAAAGCGGCATACAGGTATCGATGAATTAATTGTCGGTCGCATTAATCGTAATTCATCCAACAGTCTTAAGTAATTCGACGTAAATCTAATCGACGTAAATCTACCACTTACTGCTCGATTGGGCGTGCTAAAGATAATGCTCGTGTTGTCCACGTGCAGTCGTTCCAGAGCAAAATCCATCTCTACGAGAAACTGGAGCGAGAGACCGAATACAAAGAAAGCTGCCTCGCTTTTTTCCCTCATTTTTTTCATACGCGACACCCACTGTAAGCTCACGTTAACTATCGCGTCTTAACCTTGCAAGATCGGTCGCGTAATGGCTCCGACAGCGTGGTTCTGCATACTTCACGCGAGATTCTCTCTCCTTCTTCTCGATTCGACGACGAGAATTTCCCACAATGTACGACGCGGAATTCAATAATACGCGGAATTGAAATATTACAACTTCGGGCACAAGGTCGCCTATGTTTACATTATCCATTAACGCCGGGTTCAATTCACCTTCAACCGGTGTGTACTCTCATGTGTAAATAGCGTGACCACATTTGAATTTTGATTTGATACGAGAGTCACGGGAGTCGGGCATGGTCGGGCAGTCTCGGCTAGTAGACGAAGATAACAATAGCAGCCCGACTCTCTCGCTCTCGTGTGTCGCTCGGCAACGTTCGCTCGGCCGGCTCGGGCAACTTCGGGCCAGCTGAGCCGGCTCGCCCCGCTCGTCCTGCTCCCCGCTCGCGGCAAGTTTGACTAACTTTCTATTTTAATATTATCCCCTCAAGGTACATAGCCGATCTTATCGTAAGGTGTATCTTTGTGCTGTTACGTATTTGTTAAAAAAAATAAAATTAAATAAATAAATAGTTGGCCACCAAATAGTCGAACGTGAACGAGGCAATGAGAGGAAAAAAATGTCCACACTGATGTCGCGCTCTAAACAATGCGGGGTGCTCGATAACCTGTTTGAGTTAAAACGAGACTCGCATCTCAATGATCGTTGAAATGAAAAAAAACTTGTGATCGGTATGTAATGATCTTTCGTGTTGAATACTATAAAACTGCTGCGTTGACAGCACGAGGAATTTGCCGAATTTCCGCGGAATCAGCTGTTCGGTCGATATCATTGTCAATGCACGTGTTCGGAATAAAATGTTATCTTATCTCTAATTGTTAGAAGATAACTGTTATATATATAATTATTTTTCATATCTGTTACAGATATAACAGATTTATGATAAAGAAATTTTTATTTGCGGTAGATGCAGAAGAGAACGAAGAGGAGAATGATTTTGTGACCGACTGCATGTGGCACAAAATATTACTTGTTTTAATAAAGGATCGAACAATTTTCAAGAAGCTTCGCGATATATATATGTAAAATGCTTGCGGGCAGTAGAATTGTGCTTGGCCGCACGAATGTCGTGACAAGATACCACGTACGGCCACTGATAAGCAATCTACGTAAAACAGACGTAAGTTTCCAAGCGTTTCGCAGAGAGCGTTTAATTTCTATTTTGTAACTTAAAACGATTTTTTATTATTGCAACTTGAAGCAATGATCTTCCATAGTCACATGAAATTTAAAGCGTCGTACATACGAATTTTGTTTTAGTTTCTGCTGAAGAATCGATCTGCAATTTCTGCCGCTTGCGTGCACAATTTAGTTGCCGGCAAGTCAGCGCCGTTGACGAAGGAATCAGTGTCGCCGGTGAATAGGTACGTCCTGAGAACGCACACGTGTGGCGAGCTGACGCTCAAGAACGTCGATGAGGAGGTGAGATTGAGCGGCTGGATGGAGTTCCAGAGAATGAAGAAATTTATAACGCTACGAGACTCCTACGGATCGGTGCAGTTACTCATACCGGAGGACGTACGTGGACTGTCATTATATACTGCAATCTTTAGTGGAAATCTGTATCAAAAAAATCGACGTTGAAAAACTTTTAATGATTTCAGAGAAAGGATCTGGTGGAAGCTGTACAGAACTTGCCTTACGAGAGTGTACTGAGCGTAGCGGGCAAGGTCGTGCCGAGGCCCGAGGGTCAGCAGAACAAGAGAATGAGGACGGGCGACGTGGAGGTGTACGTCGAGTCTCTCGAGGTTCTGAACGTGGCGTCGCAGAATCCCCCGGTGTTCATCAGGGAGTACAGCAAGGCCAAGGAGAGCCAGCAGATGAAGTACAGATATCTGTCGCTGCGGTATCCCGAAGTGCAAAGAAATTTGAGGCTTCGCTCCTCCCTCGTGATGAAGATGAGAGAATTCCTGATCAACGAGTGCAGTTTCGTGGACGTCGAGACGCCGACGCTGTTCAAAAGTACCCCAGGGGTACACGCTTTTTTTTCCTAATACCTCGTTTATCAGATATAAATCCGCGTCACGAATGTATGTTGAAAATTGATTCGTCGTGTCCAGGGAGCGCAGGAATTTGTGGTGCCCACGAGACAGCCTGGTAACTTTTACTCGCTAGTACAGAGCCCTCAGCAATTCAAGCAGCTCCTCATGATAGGCGGCCTCGACAGATACTTTCAGGTCGCCCGATGTTACAGGGACGAGAGCGCCAGGCACGATAGACAGCCAGAGTTTACGCAGGTAATTATACATTTGCGTTTCGAGTAACGCTACATTTTATTATCAGCTACCTAGTTATAGATATTGTTCCATATCTACAATTGACATCATCTGTCAGTGTTACATTTAGTTGTGTTACAGCTAGACATCGAAATGTCGTTCGTCGACCGGGACGGAGTGATGAGCTTGATCGAAAATTTATTGATGTACTCGTGGCCGGAAGAATTGGGCTCCATAAAAGTGCCCTTTAAGCTTATGCCTTACGAAGACACGATGGAATTGTACGGTACAGATCAACCGGACTTAAGGATACCGTATCAAGTAAGAGAATTAAAATATGCGCGTGTACGATTTTATTTTTTTTTTCACCTCACGAAGTAATTGTTTCGGTACAAAATTGTTTTCCAGATACAAGACCTCACACACATGTTTGATCTCCCAGTATTAAAAGCGAAACCTGAAGACGACGAACAGAAAGCGTACGCGTTAGTTTTCCCAGAGAAATCGGTAGGTAGGGTAACTGTCTCTATTAGTGTGCTTGTACGTTTTAATGCGCTTTTATATTTAAATAAGTCATAAAAATAAATTGGTACAAATAAATAGACAAAGTGTTTTTTTTATTAAGTTAATACTTTATATTAACTTAATTAAAAAAAACACTTTATTTTTTTATTTGTACTTTGTCTATTTATTAAGTTAAAGTATTAACTTAATAAAAAAAACACTTTATCTATTTATTTGTACCAGTTTATTTTTATGACTTATTTAAATATATAAAAGCGCATTAAAACAGGCACACTAATAGGGATAGTTATCCTATTTATTTTAACTCGATTTGTATTCCATTGCTAAGATTAACTCTTGTATTGTAGAAGTACTTAACGAAATCCGTTAGAGACGAACTCTCTAAGATCCGTGGCGATTATTTTGCTGCTACGAAGATGGTCCAATTAAAAGTTGAAAGCGACTCGTGGAGGAAACGGTTAGACCAGCTGCAACTGAAATCGGGAGCTACAGCGGAAGACGTGTCGCAGTACTGCAAGCTGCAGGAAGGGGATGCAGTGTTGCTGGCAATTGGACGTCGAATGGATGCGGTGAGTACAAAAGTCTGGGAATTCTCTTTTTTTTTCTCCTTTAATAACAAACTTTTCACTTGCAACTGTATAATAATTATATATTTTAGCTGAAACTCTTAGGAAAGCTACGTGTCGAATTTACAAATATACTAGAAGCGAAAGGTGAACAAGTACGCTCGTCCGGGGATGAAATTCTATGGATCACGGACTTCCCGTTGTTCACATTCGAAGGAACATTAGAATCGACGCATCATCCGTTCACGCAGCCTCATCCGGATGACATGGAATATCTTGCGACCGACCCTCTAAAGGTCGGCAAAACGACTCCGGCGGATTAATTCATTTTTCATATTCTCTTTTTTTTTTATCTTCCGTATCTTCCGCTCGTAGGTGAGAGGCTTGCACTACGATCTGGTGATGAACGGATCGGAAATAGCGGGCGGTTCCATTCGGATCCACGACGCGAATTTGCAGAGGCAAATACTGAGGATGTTGAACATAGACGAAACGAAATTGTCGCACATGCTCGAGGCGTTGACATACGGAGCCCCGCCTCACGGTGGAGTAGCTATAGGTAATTACATTTTTGCACGCAGTAAATTTGCGTCTGCGAATTAAAATTGTAAGAACGGGGAACATTATGTCTCTCTTTTCTCAAGGATTGGACCGTCTCGTTTGCTTACTCTGCAACGAGAAAAGTATAAGGAGCATTATAGCTTTCCCGAAAACGATGGAGGGACGAGATCTAATGTCCGGAGCGCCAGACGTCATTTCAGACGAGTTGAAGACTTTGTACCACATACAAACAGTAAACAAATGAAATTCGGCTGTAGTGAAAATAGCAACAGTAAAATAGAATCGACATTGTGCATTTCGCTCGTGTTCACATACAATATCATACGAAAGGGCAATAATGCCTTGTAAAAGTTAAACGTATAAAAAAAATATATATAAAATTATTTATATAATTGTGGCAGTTTTTGGGGGGCGTTATAATATTTTTATCAAGTGTTACTATCCGAGCTCCGAGCGGTTATCAGAAGCATACAACATTGCGCCGCGAACAGATTAAATAAACAGACAAAAAATAGATGTACAAAAAAGTGTTTTATTATTTTTTTTTTTAGTAAAACTCGTGCGTTCAATCGAAATGTTTTTACAGAAAAATAAAAAATACAATCCAGCCTGCGCACTAAACTATTGACATTCATTTCCAAGAAGGATCTCAAGGTTCTAAGAGGCCCCTTCTTTCTTTTTGTACACTTTTTGAGAGCCTCTCTCTTGTCAAGTCAAAATTTTCATCTAACAAATTTGTTTTCTTAACAAATACGTTGATATGTCGTGATCAACTGTCGACAACGGACAAAAATTTACATCGCTCCCTTTTATTCACATACATATTTATCTTGAAACAGCCCACAGTGCGAATTGATTGGTATGATTACACATTAACACAAAAAACGTTATTAAATGTGATAATCATATGAGAAAACAAAATGTTTTTAATGATTCTAATATATTAGTTGAATAAATGAGAAGAAAAATTGAAATAGATATTTTGCTGTATAATTTTATAACTGCAACCTTCTTCTTAGTAATAAGTAATAACAAATGGAAATTGATGAACTGTCTCTGTTCAGTTTGCGATGCGCCAAATTTATATGTTAAAACAGTTAAAAAGACCCAATTAATTAAGATAAGTATCTGGTTCGATTGACCCTCATGCAATTTTTTTTTAATTACAGAAAATTACTGCATCTGTACATCCGTAGATTAATTTCACGTCGCTAGTCTCCTTGGGACAATATCGAAGACATTTCGAAGACGAGCGTCATATTTTATTTTCTCATACCATTACACGTGCAACTGAATGCCGAATCAAGTCAAGATGTGTCAAGTGATTCTCAGTAATTTCAGTAGATTAAATCCAGCCAGCCAGGACGCAAACGAGAGAAGAGCTGTGTTCTTCGACTTGGCATATATATATATATATATGTATATATATATATATGCTTTCGGCAGACAGAGACGCATTTATACACCGCGTTTCGCGGATCGGCCGAATCGCTCCAATTACAAACGCGATCTATATTGTCATTACGTTCCTAGAGTACTCTAAAACGCATGAAGCTTACAGCAATCGGCACGAAGCCCTGCCCGGTACCGATCGCGCGACGAAATCTCCTCCCCCCCCCTCCCCCGAGGATCAACGGCGAGGGGATGGGCCCTATTCTCGCGTTCTACTTGTCAAAAGCAATATACACGAAGACTTAACGTAGGAACTTGGAAGAATCACAAGATCTGTCGAGTGTCTCTTCCGTTTTTACAAAACCTTTCTCGTGAACGCGAGGCGAGCTGCGCGATTCACAAAGGTGATTGAGAAACCATCACATTTAACAGCTGTATCTCGCGAAACGCACGTTAGTTCGAGCTTAGACAGCTCTCTAAGATTTAAGTCTCGCTTCGCTTGTTGGGTATATTTATATATCTCTAGCTATGTCCTAGATTAAATCCAAAACTCTAAAAATCCGAGCTCTAAATCCCTATGTTAAATAACCGTACACGGAATTTTTTTGTTAATTTACCCTACAAATCATGTTTATTGTGGGACAATATAGTATTTAGGCAAATTTTACTGTGCACTACAATAAATTTTACAGTAGTAAAATACAGTAAAATTCAGCTAAATACTATATTTTCCCACAATTAACACGATTTGCGGGGCAAATTTAAAAAAAATTCTTCCCGTGTATGAACCAACGAGCGTGATCGGGAAAAATCATCAACCGGTCAACATCCGCCGGATCTCTGTCGTCGAACACCACCCCGCACGACGACGGCATTACGTATCTCACGAAGTGCCTCGCATCGTACTCCGCTCGCGCGAAGACTCGCGAATTTATTCGATAGAAAAACGTGACGTAACAAGGGTGACAAGGGTTGGCTTCACGGGGTGAATGGACACGGGACGTTCCACGATTTTTCACGTACGACGTGAGTTTTCCTCAAAAGCGACACACGAGTGCTTACGCCCCTCAGCTATTCTTTTTTTATAATAAAGGAGCGCGTTCGAGCGAGAGATGATTAATTCGATCGATAGAAACTACCTCTCCTTCTTCCTCGTCCGCGAAAGTCGTCGTGATGATACAAACTTGCCAGGGTCATTATACATTACAATCCGTTGTGCGCGAGTCAATTTTTTTTTTTTTTTCGTCACTCGAGCGCGATCACTCTGGTTCGCCGATCGAGTAGGGCTTCGAACCGGCGGTTTTAATCTATTAACGCTTAACGTAGCGGTAGTAATAATAGCAGCGGTATAGTCGTAATAATAGTACAGTCGATCGCTCGGTTTCTTTTTTTTTCTTAAGGGCTCTCCAAAAGTCTCGAACGAGATCGAAGGCGCGGGCCCGTGGCCGGGCGCTCGCTCGGTTGGCTGGCAGTATGTACGTGTGTCAAATTTTAATTCTAAATACGTAAGATCATTTTTTCGTAACATTCGAGGCGATTCGATTGACCTTCAACCCTTTCGCCGCGCAGTGTCTGTGCATAAAAAAAAAAAACTGCATGAGAAGAAATAACGAAGAATCCAATCTGAGGTAATATTAAATACAAATGACGTCTCTCACTCATCGAACAATAATTAATATGAATAATTAGTCGCATAATTACAGTGTAATTGCAATAATTTCAGCATAAGGTCTTAATGTACAATGTAATGTCAATTCGGGCGTTTGTGCTGTGCTAAACGCGCGCCTTAAATTATAAAAATAAAATAAATATTATCTGAAACGCTTCTCTTGAAACGCATTTTCCTATATATTCTAATAAAAGATTGAAAACGACACCAGGTGATGCTGTTCGTAAAAAGAAATTGATTCTACATTCGCGCGCGATGCACAGCGTTCAGTGAACGATCTCAGGCGGGGGAAGGGCTCTGAACACGTCGGAACAAACTGTCGCAGCTGAAGGGTCGAGGTCTTTGTACTCCTCTCCGTGTAATTAATTTCTCTTTCCCCCCCTCCCCCTCGCGAAAGCGCACGCGAGATTCGTCCCGCGCGAGTTCGCAGGTAAGACGCCCTATCAGTACAATTTTTTTTTTCGCGCACACCGCGTCGCCGTTATAAAAAATACTATTTTACAGCGCAGGAGGCAAGCTCTCGCCCATGCAGATCGCAGGCGCGCGCGCGCGCACACACACACACACGCACACACACATACAGACGGATTCGTATTGGATACAAACGTATAATAATCACTCGCACTAAGCGTACTCACTCGCTCGTACACACATATACATATACACGCAAGCACGCACGCACACACGCGCAATCGAACAATATATCATTGACCAATACATCGCTCTTGCACGAAACATATGTTAAACGGAGACGCCTAGAAAATTCTACAGGAAATAATGTATACTACCGTATATATAATTATTATATACATATACGAAAAGGATGGAGACAGGAGCGGCGGGCGATCGAATAGATCGAGCAACGATCGAGTTTGGATCACTGTAAGCGCTTCCGCGGAAACGGCGGAGAGCAAGATTTGAGATTTGTGAGAGAAAGAGAGAGAGAGAGAGCGCGCGAGAGAGCAGTCGGAAGAATCAGATATTCGTACAGTTGCAACGCAAGACTCGCCGCGCGGCTCCGTGCGATCGTACCGTGTACGGGGTAGCGGGATACACGGCAAAGTGTTTTTTCCTTCCTGTTCATTTTTTTTCTCTTGTCTTTTTAACGAAGAAACGAAATTGGACGTGCGACAACGCTCGCCTATTCGTCCGCGCCGCGTTAATTCGCCTCGGATGCGGAGTAACACCGCGGACGTGGTACCTCACGTGTCGTTTGCTGGCGAGCGAATGGATGTTACGCTGCGTTACGCATAAATCTTGTTCACTGAAAAACGAGATTGAGATACCGTCCTGTATCGCATACAAACGCCAAATATTAATCCACGAGATACAATTACGTCTAAAAAAAAAACAGAGGACAGAAGAAGAGGAAAAACCGCGCTTCCTACGAATGTCGAACGTGTTTTTTATCCGGCCCGCCGGTTACACGCGTGTAGATTAGAGGCGTACAGTCGTGGACATATAAGTTGCGACACTTTTTCCATAGATTTTTAGTATACATTTAATATATATAGAGTACATTTTATAGGTAACTAATATTTTGCAAATTCGAACCACGATGGTGTACTATCTTTAATCTAGAGACAGTACACCAATCGTGGTTCGCATTTGCAAAATATTAGTGCGTTTCGAAATTTATTGAAAAAAAAAAAAAGTGCAATCGATAACGTCCACGACTGTACATTGTATCACAATACGGTAAACGCAAAGTTGTTGCCGACAATTATGCACGCATGTCGCCGCGGTGAATAATTACGCACCGCGAGTGAAGCAACACCTTGTCGCGCGGAGGACTTTATCCATTCGTCAGGACACGCGTTTTTCTTTTCTTCCTTCTCTTTCTGTCTCTTCGCCTTTTCCTTCGTCCCTTTATAACTGATCGTTAAAGTTACAATCGGTGATAAAAGGAAATATCATCTTGCTTGTTATCTCATAATAAATACGTTACGTTCACAGTGTCGCTCTATCGCTCTTTCGCGCTGATATCTAGTGCGCCTCCTGGTTACATCCTCGTCTTCGACGACGGCCAAGATCAGCGCCGGTTGCTCACACCATCGTCGATCACCCACGGATGATGGAGAAACACGATCTCGTGGCTTCTCTTGAAACGAGAAGCGCGATTTGTTTTGAAAGCGGTGGGGAGGCTTTCAGCACCGGCGACGATCTTTTCCGCCGTCTTCACTGCCTTCGATTATCGGGAATCCATCCGGGGTAGCCGATCATGTAGCTTTTTCCCTGGCGCGAAAAAATGTGAAAAATGTCAGTGTGAACACTTTTGTCATGAAACTAGTGGAGAAATCTTTCACTTTTTCACGTCTACGCCCCGGGGAAGAAGTCACACGATCGCTATCCAGGTGTATATTACGCTTTCGGCTCGCGTACGCGGGACGCAATTAGGTGTTTCCGAAACGGTCTACGTATGAGGATCGAGCATGGCCGCATACAGGAAAAAAGAGTCGATATTTCACGTCCTTGTTACGACGACCTTACACGCGCTCCATACGGGCTTCAAGAGGCGATAGTTTCTATGTACTACGTATTTAACACCGGCTACGTTCGCGGTCTCGAGTCTTCATTGGCAACTATGAGATAACGCGTGGCGTTATCTCACGTATTACCTAGAACTACGTATATACGAAAGCTAAACGGGTGAGATAAGAATTGAAGGTTGATAACACCTATACTATTACGTCGTATTACTTACGTCGTAAAATAGACAAAACCACCAATGTCAAAGACGAAGTAATATCACAACAAAAAAATTACGAATTCCATTCCTCATTTCGCGCGATGATTCCCCTCGCGGTTTCGAGCCCGAAAAAAGGACAAACCTATCCTGTATACGGCCATGTACGAATCAGAGCGTAATGGTATTACAATCAGATGTACGATTCGCTTTACAGACTGTCTGCTGAAACGTCAATGGGATCTAAACGACTATTCGGAGATCGCTCGCGCGCGCTTTGGCGCGTTTTTAATTAAATTAAATTAACATTTCTATAACACGCCGTGTCTGAGGCGACGCGCGTGACCGGTTATCAAAAATGTAAAGCGTAATAATAACGTAACGTGTTGCACTGTCGTACCGATGGGTGGCCGAAAACCGAGTCGCCGATTACATTTTCGATTTTGCCGGACGACTTCTTTACTCAGTGTAAATTCAATCGAACGCGTGGCTGTATTCAAAAGAACGCCGTACTCGGAACACGCGAATCATGCCCGTCTCTAGGTCGAAAAGCTGTTTCCACGTTTAGCTTACAAAATTCTCGGATGATCGGTATCGCTTCCGGTAGCGCGTCGTTCTACACCACAGGCGTATCTGGCAACAGCTAGCGCTAGACGAGAAAATTCGTTCTACGGCAATTTTTTCCCTCTCTCGAACACAGTTGGGGCAAAACGCGGTCGACTGCCCCTGGGGAACGGACGAAGTCCGAAGATGCCTCTTCCCGCGCGCGACAGATTGCGTTATTTTCTTTTCCACGTATCGTTTAAACGATTACACACAGGTACGCAAGAAGAGGCTATTTATACGCGACACATTCGAAACATTTACGAGACATGGATATCCTCCTATATTTGTGTATAATGAAGACAATGACGACGACGACGATGATGACGATCGAAAGTTGCGTTCCACGTGGACCTTCTTGAAACCGCCTAGCCGTGGGCCAGCTGGTCGAATTACCTCATGAATTCTCACGATGCTCCCTCGGATACATTTTCGAAAATTGGTAATGCCATACCGACAGCTTTGCGACACATTCCAGTTTCATGCACATAATGTAAATGCAATGTAAATATATTCGTTCGAACAAGTTATAAAACATCCGATTGGTTGTTGGCTCTCAGCTGTCTGTCTCTCTCTCTTCCCGCACACTCCTTGCCCTGTTCCTCTCCCTCTCTGTCGTTCTTCCTTTTACAAAGTGCACAGCTCTTCTGGCGTATATAGCTCTGCATTCCACATAAATTAGTCTTATGCGTTCTCGTCGATGGTGGGCAGCCAGAAAGCCATGTTGGTGCACGCCGACGCCAGCATCATGTACTTGGGATTGAACTGGATACACTGCACCGGTGCCGGATGGTCACCATTCAGCACGCAAACTTTGTAACCGGTCTCCGCGTTCCACACATGCACCCTACCATCCGTGGAGCCACTGAACACAAATTGGGAATCCGGACTAAAACTGGCCTCTATGGCGATCCCCTTGTTGTTGAGATATCCGGCGAAAGTCTGTAAGGGCGTACCGTGAAAAGCGTCGATTAAACGAATCGTACTACCGTTAGTGGAGATCAAGATGGTCTTGCCGTCTCTGCTGAACTTCAATCCGGTCCAATCGCACTCCTTCTCCTGCGAGAGCTTGAAGGTGACGAATGGGCCCTTATCGAAGCTGCGCAGATCGTACAGCTTGATACTTTCGGAATTGACGCCAGCGGCGAAGATAAGACCCTCCGGATCGTACGCAGCCACCGGTCGGCCCGAGACGTTCATCACCCCGTGGCAATTCGGCGAGCGCAGGTCCCACAGTCGTAGGGATTTGTCTAAGGAACCAGAGAGGAACGTATCCTCGATGGGGCTGATACATAGCGATACTACCTTTTTCGAGTGACCGGGAAAGTAACGTATGTACTTGTTGTCGTGCAGGCTGAGATAGCGGATCGTGTCGTCGACCTTGGTGCTGCTGTGTATCGCGGTGTTCTTGGCGTGGGTGAAGTGTATCAGGTCGACGCCGTACTTCTTGGAGTTGACCGTCCGCACCTGCGTGCCCTTCTCGCAGTCGTATATGACGATCTGGTCGTCCTCCGAGCAGGAGATCAGGGTGTCGCCGTTCGGCGAGAAGTCGATGCTGTTTATCCGATCCGTGTTCTCGCGGAATACCTTGGCCACCTTGAAGCTCCTCACCACATGGTCGACGAGCTTCATGGTGATGGACGGCGCGTCCTCCCTCTCGTGCCGTCCCCTTAACCTCCTCGACTCCACAATCTCTGTGCTTGTGTGGTGACCGGGTGCGAAGACCGCCGGGCGCGGGGGCCGGCCGCGGGTCGCGGATGCGGACGCGGCCGCCAAGTTGTCGCCTCGCGAGGGCGGGCGGGAGGGAGAGGAGGGATCCGCGCGTCACCGCGACGAGGATCGCCGAGGGAGGTCGCGAGCACGATCCAGGCGGTAGCGGGACGATGGAGAAGAGGAGGAGGAGGAGGAGGAGGGAGAGGACGCGGACGAGGATGGTATCCCCCTCGCGTCGTCGTCGTTATCGCCGCAGGTCGCTCACCACGGTCGCTTGCGCGCGTACACGCTCCTCCGTGTGGGGGTGTGTGTGTGTGTGTGGCTCCGTGGACCGCCGCGGCAGATTACCTCTCCGCCGACGTGGCTCGCTCCTTCCTTCCTTCCTTCCTTCGTGGAAACGGACGCCGTCAGCGGGACCGCCGACCGTAACACCGCGCAGCACCACCACCACCACCACCTCCACCGCCGCCGCCGCCGCCGCACCACCGTCCTGTGCGTGCACTGTGCACAACAAATGAAACAAATCCTACCAACCCGCTCGGACAAATGGAAAACGGAGGGGAAATCGTCGGTTTCCTGCACCGTACCTCGAGGCGATCTCGGGCGCCCGTCGACGAGCGTTTGTCCCTCGCTCTCCCCGTGTCCCCGATCGGTGTACCTAGTGTTATAGCGGCGAATTCGGCAGCGACGAGACGAGCGGCACCGACTCTGCTCCTGCTCTGCTATGTGCTCTGCCTGCCGCTGCGCCGCGCTGGCTCCTCCAGCAAAGCGTGAAAGGCCGCTACGCACGGGGGCCGCCCGGGTGCGTGTGTAGCGCGATGAGAACGCCTTGACCGATAAATTACCCCCGACACGCGCGCCTCGCGGCTCGGTCGGTAAAGCCCAGCAATATCGACCGAGCGCTTTCGGATAAACTTAAACTGTGGCAAGGCTGCTTTTCTTTTTTCAGGGGAAAAAAAAAAACAAATTGACATTATTGCATATTTAATCGGACAAGAAACACTCTCCTGCCGAGAAGCGTCGAATGGGTTTGATCAAAATTGTAAATGGAAAGCGATATACATATATATCTCTTCCTCCAACACGTGTCGAATTATATCTCTGTTCCATTTCCAAGTGCAGGAAGTACCACCGAGTGCGACGCGGTGCAGCAACAAAGCAGCCTCCCGCCCACCTGTGTTTACGTGCGTAATGTCACCCGGAGACAATAGCCATTTTTCTCTGTGTTCTTTCGCGTGAAAAAAAAGGAGAGATCGCCGAGGTCAGAGGTGGAGACGCGCGCGCGCACACTGCATGGGATGAGCATCTCGTTCCGCGATGAGCGACGTTCCGAGGAAAAAAGCCAATCACCTGGCGGTGTTTAAGCGGCGCACCAAGAACGAGGACAACGACGAATTGTCGAGGAGCTTCATTATAGGAGCGAGAAAGACGGGCCGGTTGAATCTCTCGTCGAGGGGACTGTCCACGGGTATATAAACATTTGCGAGAGCACCGCCTGTGCGCATATTAAACATTGCAGAAACACGACGATTGAACGATCGTCGATCTGACGATACGAATCCGTTTACGTTATATTAATTCATATATGTCGCACAGTTATTATACTGTACTCGAAGCATGCTCCAGTTTTCGTTTTAGATCATACACGAGAGCTTGTACTCATCAATCGGACGGACGTGCATGGTGATCAGTGTACCATCCATGTTAAATGATTTTATGTTACATTACTTATATTTACATGACCATGTGTTTATGATCTCATCGATACACACAATTAAGTTTCAAGATTTTTTTTATCTCCTTGTTGCCTGTTAATTTTATTGCTTGGATGTTGAGTGTTCCATATAAGTATTTATTATTAGATTTACTTGTATTCGATATGACGTATGACACACATGTGCATTGCGAATGATAGTGCGAATGCGAATGAAAAGTGAGATTACTTTTGCTGTTGTGTCATGATAAAATCCTTTGGGATGTAAAATACTAGGGTACAAGTTTTCCAAGGGATCCAACAGATTCCAGAGAATCTTACACAACACGACTAAATGGAATCAATTATATACGTACATGTACAGCAAATAAGACAGAAACTATAGTCTCCAAGAGTATTAGGCACTTATATTTTTTTTTTCATTTATCTGGAATTCTCTTACCAGTATTGTTTACTATTGGCTTTACCGGCGTTATACATAAGTTCAAGGAATTCTTGAAATGAAGAATAATTTACGACAAATGTCATAAATCAATTTTTGAAATAAAATGTTAAATGATGGTTAATAAGGTGTCCAATACTTTTGGCCAAGACTGTAATGTATATGTAAGTATTGCGAATGAGAATGCAAAGAAATGAAATGCGCACACAGTCTCCCTGTTATTCGTCGTCATGTCAAGTTCTTTTAGAATGTATGAAATGTCAAAATTTGTATTTTAATATAGTATTACTAGTTTAAACAAGACAAATAATTGGTGTAACAAATTGGCATCTTTTTGACATGTTTATATTCTACAAATGATTTTTAGCTGTAAGTCCAGCAATGTTGAAGTCAAATAAATCTGGTTTCACGCAATTGTGTTTCTTTTTTTTTTATGTATATGTATTTTTAATTATGTGTATACATAAAACATAAGTGCGGCAAAATTCTAAATTTTATCACAGCAGAAATATTACGTTTAATACTTACTTTTTTTTTTAAGTTTAATATTCAATATTTTTTAATATTTTATTTGATATAATAATACTTCAAGATACATGCCATTTGAAAACAATCTATGCCTATAATTAAGAACATGCTTGGTATCATACGAAAATTATTCATTATCATTATCTTAAGTTGCTTTGCACGCTTTGCTAAAGATATTAGAAGTGATCATACTCTCAGATGTACACAACGTAACTTAGAAGTAAGTTCATTCGCCATATCCAGGTAAGTAAATTTAATATGACACCTTCGTTGAATTTAATGGCAAAAGTAGCATTGCACAGAGCCGAAAGAGCAGAATCCTGAACGTAGGCATTAACGCGCGTTACAGTACCCGACAGAATATGGAGTATAAACGAATTAACGGAGGAGGAGTTACGTAATTTACATGTCGAACTTGATTACGAGCCTCTGGAGGAGCGATGGTGGGAACAGGAACCACTGAAGATGCTAGATCTGAGCTTCAACAGTTTGACTGTAATCGATGACAAGATACAACTTCTAACGGAATTGAATACTTTAGACGTACGTACAAGTATTATTTCTTGCGATTTTAAGTACTTGCAGATACGTTTTCAATATTTCTATATTCTATCTTTTTAATATGTATTTTAAATAAATATTTTAATCCAGCTGCACAACAATTTGTTGGAAGAACTACCGCCCGAGATCGGTTCTCTGCGCCAACTAAGAGTGATAAATCTGTCGGACAATAAGCTAAAAAGTTTGCCCAATCGGTTGTACATGCTGGAGGAATTGTGCAAGTTGTATCTGAAAAGTAATCAAATAAGCACACTCGAGGCCGAGATTGGGAATTTAATCATGTTAACTCAGATGGTAAAAAATACTATGCATTGTACAATTAATGCAAAGCCAATTTCTTCAATGAAAATAATTGTACATACGTATCTCTTTTCAGGATTTATCATGCAATAGTTTAAGTGAATTACCGATCGGATTGGGATACTTGGTGCGACTGGAGACACTGAATTTATGTCACAATATGATAAAAGAGTTACCGCCTGATGTAACAAGCATGAGATGTGAGTTTCCCTCCTGCACAAACGCATAATCGTTGTAAAAAGTGATCTGTACTTTGCGCTACTCACTTAACTATTCGGTAATGATTATTGCATTTTTTTTTTCCTGATAGCGTTAAAAACGTTAGACGTCAGCTTTAACCAGCTGGAGACGTTACCACCGTTAGGTGAATTGCGAAAAGTAGAAAGAATTATGTTCCAGTCGAACAATTTGCAGGAATTCCCAGACATATCAGGTTGTTCAGCATTAACAGTATTGCATTTGGATAACAATAACATTCCTGTATGTGTCAACATATACGTTTATGCTTGAGCGAATCAAGACTTCAAATTCTGCTTGCTGCTACAAACGCCGTTTCACTAAAACGATCTTTTTTTTCTCTCTCTCTCTTTCTCTTGCAGGAAATTGATCCGCAGCGCTTAGAAGGGACAGGCCACCTGAAAACGCTCACAATGCAAAACAATAAAATCGAAGTGATACCCGAAGAAATAGTCAAATTGATAAATTTGGAAGTTTTTGACTTGTCGCATAATAATATATCTTTGTACGTCGTACAGCTTCTCTTTCTCTTAACTCATCTTATATATTTAAATCGTCCAGTTGAAATGAATGTTTTTTTTTTTTTTTTTTTTTACAGTATACCCTTTTGCATCGGAATACTGCCCAATTTAAAGCAATTTGTAATCGAGGGAAATAGCATAAAAAATGTGAGGGGAGACATAATACGATGCGGTACGCACCGCATTCTGTCGCACATTCGTCAGACTGTGGACAATAATCCAAGCATAAACACCAGAGAATTATTCCAACCTAGTGCCAGCAATAGTATTCATCCTGACAAGTATGTAAAGACTAATTTGTTAATACGATCAATCGAGACGTCTCTATTATATTTAAAAAATATATCTATGAGATATTTTATGTAAAATCAAATCTGAATATAATTTATAATAATACAGGTACGTGATGAAGCACACAAAGCTGTTGAGTTTAACCGGGCAAAATCTCCTGGAGATATCCGAAGAGGTCTTGGAAAATGCGGCGGAAGCCTCCGTCACAACCGTCGACTTGAGTAGAAACAGGCTGTCGGAGCTGCCTGATAAAATGTCGATAATCGCTACAGTGACAGACCTAAAGCTGACCTCGAATCATTTAGCGAGCTTGCCGGAGTGGATCGGTGAGAAGTACACGTGCTTGCAAGTTTTAGACCTGAGTAAAAATCACTTGCACTCTCTACCGTCGAGCATCGGTTGTCTGGCATACCTGCGAGATATTGATCTCTCGTTCAACAGGTATATAACAGAGATAATTTTGACCTGCACATTTCCCAACATTCTTTTTTAACATGAAAATGTGAGTTTATGCGCCGTATGTCATATACTGCAGGTTCACTGAATTGCCAGAAGCTATTTACGACGTTGCGTGTTTGGAATGTTTAATTGCCAATGACAATCAAATCAGGAAAATAGATGTGCCGCTTTTGGAAAAATTAAAAAGGCTGGCAGTTTTAAATCTGACAAACAACAATATCGCTCACGTGCCCCCTGAACTTGGTAACTTGAAACATTTAAGGTAATAAATATCTTTTATCTATTAATTGTACAATATTGCTCATATTTTTGTCATATTTAGTAAAGAATATATTTGTTTCCAATAGGCATATTACGTTTTTATCTATAATGTCACAATTATATAAACGTTCTTTTAGGAATCTATTGTTATCCGGGAATTGTTTCAAATATCCCAGGCAAGCGATTCTGATGAAAGACACAGAGGAAATATTGAGCTATTTACGTAATCTAATACCTCAATAACGAAGAGAAAACGAAATAGTTAGTAGGGATTATCCATTTTTAAAACTGTTAAAAATTTGTTATATCTAAATGTGTTACGTGTGAATATTTTATGTCTATAAATACATTTTTACTGGTCTATACAAATTTTACACACATACATGCATATACATATAATGTATATATATATAAATCCCATCCTAGATGAGACAAGTACAAATAATTAGACTAGATTCATATTAGTAAATTTAATGCGAATGAAGCAAGGAGAAATCCTGCATTCATAGAAATACATGAGAAGAAAATAAAGTGTCAAAATGTGAGAATGTGAGAGTGCAGCAAATACGTATTTTGAAAGAATGAAAGGTGTATTTAAGATATTTAATTATATAGATTAGAATAAATGTGATTGAAGTGGAAGCTAATAAAGGCCAAAAAAATCAACAGTATTCTGTGAACATACTTTGTAACATTCAGCCTAACAGTATTTTTCCTTCCTTTATCAATAATTTAAAAACATGTGTTACCAAGATATAACCTTAATTATATGTATTAATAAATTAATTATTATAACCAAAACATGTATAAGTTATAACACTTATAACCTTAATTATGTATTAATTAATTATGAAATATGTAGAAAATTATAATATATATATATTAAATATTATATATATAAAATATCTACTTTGTAACTGTTCTTTGATTGTGACTGTTGGTTTTCGTCCAGCGATCACACATCACGCGAGTTTTTTGTACATACATACACAAAGTACACACCTTGACAGCTGACATAACCAACAATCGGTTTCAGCCTCTGGGCGAGTGGCTCGTAGTACTTTTCGCGCGTGCACACATCGCATACATTTGTATATGCATTTACAGAAACGTAGGAACGTCGAATGCAAGCTGGATTTGGCATTAGTTATGTCGCGACGCACGAATTCGCGCGAAGATTGACGCTTTAATAAAAATCGCCGCTGGACAATCTCGCCGACAAATTTCCCGTAGGTCCACGGCCACTCGCTTTTGGTTGTCCCGAACAGATTCCTCGTATACTGCAAACGTGCGACGCCTTAAGGTTACACCGTATCTCTTTTTCAGTTTTCTCGCGAATGGATAACGCAACCGCCCCGTTCCTCTCGTCGCTGCCGCTGTGCGATTTGTACGACTTTTAGCCCACCTCAGGAGGATAGGATGTCAGAGACGGAGATAACGTTCGAGGAGGAGCACTCCGTGGACCTGTTCTCGGACGTAGAATTGTCGCAGAGCACGAAGAACGCGGCCAATTCGGACTGTAAGAATCCATCCGCGCGTTCCCTGCGTTGTGTTGCGTCTCGTGTCGCTTTTAATATACAAGTAATAGTATAATAATAATAATAATAATAATATCGAAAACGTTTGGCTTCAGCGAGCTCCATGTCCGTTGGCGTTAACGAGCCTGAGCCGTCCGACGGCGTACCCGAGTGGAAGGGCATGAGCATGGACGAGATACGCAAGGGCCTGGGCGTTTACGACTGTCGGGAACATCCGCCGGTCGTCGTCTCTTCCAGTCACACAGTATTGTTCATGGTATGATTTTACATGAATGGATCGATGTGATATATTATCAATCTTATATGTAGATCTCGCAATGCGTCATGTGCGTGTCTCGCTAGATATCCGTTGTTTATATTGTATACTTTCTCTCTGATTTAGTTACCATTGCGTACACCTGGACCACCAAAGCCATATCCGACGCATCGAATAGACAAGTGGAGCCAGGGCTATGTACGAATGCCGCATTCTGCGCACAGTTTGTATCCAATAGAGCAGGTACTTGTTATCAAATAAGATATCGAAATCTTGAGATGATAGATTTTTCAAATTTGAAAATTTGTTTCCTTGAAAATACCAAGAGAAGCCTGTCATTTAGATTCCAAATTCTTAATATTATTTTAATATCTTCATAATTAAGCTTTAAAGTTCTATCAAAGTAAATTCAAAATTGAGTATTAATTAACTAACTTCGTAATTTATTTGCCTCTCTTGAAAAGGCTTTTTTTTCATTATAACTATAAAATAATAATGTAAAATTATTTAAAATTATTTATATAATATTATTCTTTAAATATTTTTATTATGGATTATAAATTGCTTGAAAAAACTGTCATCTCAGAATAAAGTTTGGGTAGGATAATATATACAAATATACAAATATAAATGGATACTGATGTTAATGTATTAAGATTAATGTTCGGTTCTTTTTTTTTTAATACTGGATCACGATATTCCGTATAGCACAAGTAATTATTGACATTAATTATTAGACTGTATTTTAGAGGAGCGGAAGTCGCAGTTGCCGAAATAGATGGGAGATGATTCAGGAAGCTCTGCTGAGGAACATACTTTCCAGCCAACAGTTAGAAGATGCTATACTTTCGTACAATCAAATATACGCACAGCGCTGGAATTTCGCGGCGCTCCATCACTTTTTCTCGGAGGTATAGCCCTTCCACCTGCACCGCGTTTAAGTATTGCCCTTCAACAGTTTTGATTAACAAGAAAATTTTTGACGTAGGTCATGGACTCGGAGGAGACGACCATGTTCTTTGAAACTCTGATGCCAAAGATAATCCAACTGGCCTTGCAGCTTCCTGTGCTGTTAACTGGCGCGGTGCCCCTGCTGAAACGACACACCAACGGGTCTATCAGTTTGAGTCAATTACAAGTAGCCTCGCTGCTGGCAAACGCATTTTTTTGTACATTTCCTAGACGGAATTCAAGTAATCCGCAATCGGAATACGCGTCGTATCCATATATTAATTTTAACAAGTAAGATTGCAAATCATTTAAATTATTTAATTGTAATTATTTGAGATAAAATAGTATTTATCGTGTGTCCTTCTGATATTTCAGATTGTTCGCTGCCTATAACGAAAAACACAGCCAGTGTGAGTCAGTGATGGAGAAGATTAAATGTCTTCTTCATTACTTCAGGCGAGTAACAACTAAAGGTGAGTACATACATCATAATTATGTATTCTTTTACATGAATACTTATGCGTATTTTGTCAATAATTTGCCAAAAATAATCATCTAGTAGAACTAGAGTCACACATTACAATTTTTACATAGAGCAGCACCTGAAGGTATAATAACAATCGAACGACGTTACATTCCGTTGGAAAGCTGTCCAAGATGGAATTTGCAAGACCAAAAATTGCCACCGTTACACATAACGAGTAAAGGGACTATCGAAAGCGAAGGAGCTGGGCTGCTCCAAGTGGATTTCGCAAACAAGTGAGCCTCCATTATACAATTCTTGAATGATTCATGCTTGAGCAATTTACTGAGTATCGTTCGAGACTCTGGCTGATAAGATTATAAAACAAATATAACGAGGGAAAGAGAGAGGAGTAAAGAGATTCTTAAGATTATTACTAAATTTCCATTTAATATTTACTAACTTTCTTTTTCGCGAATAGATATGTGGGCGGAGGTGTGCTAGGCTTGGGCTGCGTGCAGGAAGAGATACGGTTCGTTATATGCCCGGAACTTATGGTCACTATGTTGGTTACGGAGGAACTGGACGATACGGAGGCGCTCGTCGTCACCGGTATCGAGCGGTACAGCAAGTACGAAGGGTATAGCAACACTTTCAAGTGGAAAGGAGATTTTGTTGACGAGACACCGAGGGACAATAGTGGTAGACGTATGACGTCAATCGTCGCTATTGATGCCCTTTACTTCAGGCAGTCCTCGCTGCAGTTCAATATGGACAACATAAATCGTGAGCTTAACAAGGTTTGTAATCTTCATGTAAATAGACGTTATCGTCAGAATGTGAATCTGTATATAAATTTGTGAAATTTATCAGATTCCCAAATTATCGGAAATATAAAACGATTTTATTCATAAATAATTTTATCAATTTTTATATAGATTCTATTTAATATTCTTTAATCATTTCGTTCGATAATATTCTTCCTAAAATTCAACAATTATTATTTAGCAAGCTGTAAAAAATTGCTACGTATTTCAGTGCTATGCCACATATAATGCCATTGTCTGTTCAAAAATATAATCATTTTAATAATTTTAATAATTTCTTCCCAAAATTCAACCATTATTATTTACAAGCTGTAAAAAATTGCTACTTATTTCAGTGTTATATTAATATAATGTCTGTTTAAAATTAATCTAATAATTTTATCATTAACTTAAAAATCACTTTTCGCTCCCATTCTCATAGAACAAAATAAATATACTTTTCGAGCCGGATCTTTTGCTCGGTCGACGAGCGTCGCGTTCTATTGTTTCGAGGAACGTAGTCAGAAAAAAACGCTAAAGTAAAGTGTAAACACTCGCGATAAGACGAGTGTCGTTCAGCCAAGAACAGCTGATCGACCGTCAGCGACAATGTCTGATCGGATTTTCTGAAAATCGCGAATGCCGTTTCGCGAGTTGTTCGGTAATTTAGCGAGGTACACGTCAACAAGACGATTTTGCAAGCACCGAAACCGAGAAACCAAATAAAATAAGGCGAGCACATGGATCTGTTAACGAATAGTTCGAGACTGCGACCGAGGGCCCGAAGGCTTCGCTGTTTTACAGATTGTCGAACAGAACGTTCTAGAATCCTCGGTAACAACAATGACATGCAAATGCTCGATCAGCTGACGGACAAAAGACCGATCAGCTGTTGTCGCTGACAAGCTAACGGTCGATCAGCTGTTTTCGCCGAACGACACTCGTCTTGTTGCGTTTACTTTTATTTTTACTACGTTCTGACTCGAAGCAATAGAACGCGACACTCGTCGACCGAGCGAAAGATCCGGCTCGAAAAGTACATTAATTTCATTTTATTCTCCGAGAATGGGAGCGAAAAGTGAGTTTTAAGTTAACGATTTTAATTAGAATGATTATAGTTTTGAATAGTCTCTCTCCAATTCTAACGCTAATGCATATTCCGCAGGCTTACGTTGGATTCGTCGGATCTGACACCTGTAAGAACAATCTGCCTGCCATCGCAACCGGAAACTGGGGATGCGGCGCGTTTCGCGGAAATCCGAAATTGAAAGTCTTGATACAGTTGATGGCTGCTGCAGCTGCAGGCCGATCGATGGTCTACTTTACTTTCGGAGACACGAAGCTGCGGGACGACGTGGCAGCGATGTACGCACACTTGATTCATCACGACATCGATATAGGTACATTCGAGAGTTAATTTGAAGAGAATTAATTAAAAGAAAAACGGAAACCACAGTCGGTTTCTAAATACTCATGTTACATTGATTAATTTAATTTTTTTTTCCCCCCCCGTTAACTTTTAGCGCGACTTTACTCAATGCTGTCGGAGTATCGTCGAGAGTCAGCCTCGAACGCTCATTCGGATTTTTATTGTTTCTTGTACAACAGAAGTAGGATAAAACCGTTGAGCAAATACTTCCCGACGAAGCCCGCCGAGAGCGTCCCTTCGGCGAATATTTCCGCCGAGTGTCTGAGGGAGACGCTGTTTAAAAGGAACAAAACCGCGACCTTGTCGAACAAAGACATTGATAACAAGCGATATCATTACTCGACGGCCAAGGAGAAGGAAGTGGCGGAGGAGGAAAAGATCATGAATTGGTTGACGAGCTGCGAGAGCGATAGCAGCGACGGCTATGTCAAACCCGAGGATAACCGCGATGGGAAAACCAAGAGTGCTGCGAGAGAGGCGGATAGTCATAGGAACGGCGGTTTGCGGGACGATCATTTTGCAGATAACACCGTCAACGGAGAGAACGTGCAAATGGAAGATAAGATATCGAATAAGTTGGACAACAGCGTGAATACGTCGAATTCGAAAGAGCCGGTTATTCCACGCCTTATCGACAATCAAGACACATCGAAGAAGATAAAGTCCGAATTATCGTTCGAATCGATGGAACTGTGCGATGATGGCGACAGCGAATCCGTAAAGATCTTGAAAGACTGCGCTCCGGAATCCTGTAAGCAAAAGTCGCTCCCTAAAAGGAGCGGCCAGAGGAAGATCTCGGAATTTTTCCAGCGAATATCGTGAACATGCGGTACACGGACAATTTCGAAGCGATGCCAATTAGCACCCGCGCACTTCTGTAATTATAAATATTCTGTATAATCTTAAACGTTACAAATCTTGAAAGTACAATGTAAATAAAATTCTGCGTAAGACGGGATTATTCAAGCACCTTGACACCTTTTTTATTTTGTATATCTAACATACGTATCTTATATTTTGTGTCTTAAAAAGCGATTACGTGTGCAGCTGTATTATATAATAATTTCCAATGCATAAAAAGATTATCAATCTAAAAATTCTTTAATTTTTAATCAACATGGTTCTTAAACTGTCTGTCGATAACTAACGATTGATGTCGGGCCCTTCGGCGGGTCGCCACTCGACGGAGATTCCTTTTAAAAATCGACCTTTAAAAACCCCCTCAGCCCCTCGCGGCGGGAGAGGGGAGGGAGGAGAGGGTCACGTGGCCGCTTATCGACGCATCGCCGTTGGGCCGAGCGAGCTGTCAAATGCGAAGATGGCCGCTGTCACTGAAATATTAAAAAGTCTCCCGCCGTGAGAAACGACACACGAGACTCGCCGACGACGGAAAATGTAGAATTTCCCGGACGGGGGGAGGGGGGACCGAAGACGCGTCCCAGGTAACGGCCGATCGCGCGCGATCCGCAATCGGCGACGCGGCACCGCGCGCGTACAACCGCGATCGTTCGCTCCGCGAGAGGTGGTGGTGGTGGACGTTCGCCGTGGGCGGTGTTTCGGCGACGGATGGCGACGTGCGCGTATACACGGCGCGTGTGGTATACGTGCCACCTGCACGCGTGTGCGCGCCTCCTCCCGTGCGTGTGACGTCTCGCGTTTTGGATCTGACGTTTCGAGTGCGAGCCGACAGGCAGGCGTAGGCAGTGCGGACGGACGGACGGACGGACGTAAATATTGAGCCGGATGCTCTCGTCGCGGCGATGCCGCTGATCCGTGTGCGCTGACCGCCGATCGGCCGTGTGTCACCTGCACGCGCTCTTTCGCGACGCCGTGCGACGCCGGGGGTGAGGACCGCGCCGATGCCGAGGCATCCGCCGTTTCGTTTTACACGCGCCGCGCCGTGCCATTTTCGTCGAGTCGCTCCATGCTGCCCGCCGCGACGTTGACGACACCCGCGACGTCGGCACGACGGGCGCACGGCGAGCGTGCCCGCTGACGTGCCCGCCGCGGGATACGCTACGCCGTCATGCTGCACCGCTCCCGTCGGCACGACGCGTTCCTTCGCTCTCCTACGTGCGCCGATCTTGCCGATCGCCTGAGTTATTGAGTCGCGATTCAACGTATGTTTCTCAAGCCGTCAAAGTCCTGTGTATATGTCCTACGTGTGTATGTGTGCCTGTGCGTGCGTGGGCCTGTGTATATGTGTGTGTGTGTGTTCATTTTGCGTCGTTCCTTTTGAGCACGTTGACATTTTCGTCAATTCGTTAAAATAGCTCATTCGTATCGATCTGCTCTCTATTGACCGGCTGTGACTAGAAAGTTGAGCTCGTGATATCGAGTTTTTTTTTTTTCTATTCCTTTCTCTAATTAACTTTTCAAGAGTACCTTTTTCATTCCCCCCCCCCTCCTCCTTTTTTTTATACGCGCCGAGTTAACAATGAAAGATTGTACCTGTGTCGATTCGCCGTTTCGCTTTCCAGTCTGCCTCGTAGACTGACGATAATTAATTAGATGTCCGAATGGTATAGCGCGCGAGAAAAAGTCTTTCCGCGTTAAATGATATCACGTCCGATCTTTCCCGTGTCACAGCTGGGAAAACACTGCACTACTCCGAAAAAATACCGTGGACAAGGGAGGAAGACTCTATGTTTTTTCTTTTTCTCCTTTACAGCAAATCTCAAGTATGAACATAATGCGCAAATTACGAGGGGGTACCAGCGTCGGAGGTATGGGCTCGAGCGGTACCGGTGGCTTGGACGACTGTGCCGGCGGCACGAATCCCCAGCACACCGCCCTGGGGCTTATGCACCTCAAGAAGCTCTTCTCCGAGTACACCCATCCGCCGCATCCCCTCTCAGACACTGAACGGGATGACAAATTGTACAACATGTTGCCGTTATTTTGCAAGGTAGAGAGCGTACAAAAAAAGTGGATCCTTTAATTGATATAAGATATATTTCGTGGCATTGCCGCGATAGTGTCATATCTCGAAAAATGACAATTTTGAGTTAGTCATTGGAAAAGATGGATATGGCGTGTACTTTTATCTGGCGATGAATAACTCAAAATTGTCAATTTTCGAGATATGACACTATTGCGGCAATGTCGCGATATATATATACATTCCCGCGTTGAAGCTGAGATTTTTTCCTTCCCCTCGGCATTAAAAACGGATGTTTCATTTTAGAGAAACAGGTTCTACACGAAGAGAATTTCCTTTTAAAATTTACCCTGAAAATCATGTTAATCGTGGGACAACATATAGTATTTCGGCAAATTTTATGTAATTTTCTCTGTTTCTTTTTATTGTGTACTACACAATAAATTTGTTGTAGTACATATTTAAAAAAAAACAGTGAAAATCACGTAAAATTTGTCGGAAATGCGACGTTGTCCCACGATTATCATGATTTTCAGGGTAAATTTTAAAATAAAATTCTCCGTGTATACACGTTTTTCTCGCGTCGTCGTAATTGCAAGAGAGAAACTCGTCTCGTGTTCGCCAGGTATTTGGCTCCAGTCCATCGGGAGACATGAACGAAAAGTTCTGGGACATTCTGGCGTTTACGCAGCAAGTATCAAGACTGATGGTGTCCGAGATCAGGAGGAGGGCGAGCAACCAGAGCACCGAGACGGCGAGCTGTGCCATCGTCAAGTTTCTGGAGATCGAGAACAGCGAGGAGTCGAGCAACGGCTGGATGCTGCTGTCCGCGTTGAATCTTCTGGCGGCGGGCGACACGTCACTGATACAAGTAAGCGCATAAATTGAATTTCTCCGTTTGAAATCATATCCTCATTTTCTCAAAGGCGAATTCCTCTCCCTCTGCAACTGTCAAAAACTCTTTCCAGGCTATGACCGCTGCCTCGGTTCCGTCGACCTTGGTAAAGTGCTTGTACCTGTTCTTCGATCTGCCCGAGATGAACGAGGAGGACGCCGACGTTACGGATACGAACAGCGAATTCACTCCCAGAGAGCGTAGGATACTGCTGCAAAAAATATTCGTTCAGGTGACCACGATTTTCCGAGAGTTTTATAGATACTTTTCCCCCGAAGGAGGCGAGCAGGGAATTTAACTTTATCCGCGAGATTTTAATTCGTTCCGTTTACAATTTACAGTTGCTGGTGAGATTGTGCAGCCACCCTTATCCCGCGGAGGAACTCGCCCGCAAGGACGATCTTACCCTACTGTTCTCAGCAATAACCAGTTGGTGTCCGCAGTACAATATTATGTGGCGTAAAAGTGCCGCCGAGGTCTTGATGACGCTATCTCGACATGGTCTTACGCAGAATGTAGTAGCCTATATTCATAGTAAGTTCAACACTTTACTGCACCTCTATTGATTAAATCTACCTTCCCAAGATCAAATCTACTTGACGTGTTGATTCATTTTATAGATAAAGGATGCATAGCACTCTGTATCGATAATATGCAACGTGTACCTGAGCTGGCACCATTAGAAGTTGTAGAAATGTTCGTAACGGTGTTCTGTTTTCTAAAAGATTCCAGTGAGGTTTCTCAGACATTGTTAGACGACTTTCGTGCTTGCCAAGGCTATATCTTTCTATCTGAATTTCTGTTAAAGTAAGTAAAAAGTGTTGACCGTGCGCGAAAAGTACGGCGGCTGTTGTTTGTGGCGATGCGATAAGAAGGCTATATCTCTCTATGTAGACACGCGCCGTCGAGATTGGAGCAGGACAGCAGAGCGGAGGCGCAGGACGCTATCCGAAATTTGGTACTAATGTTAGCGTCTTTAACAATGTGCGGTCATACAGAATTGAAGCCGAGTCAAGCTAGCATGGGATCCTTGTTTCAAATGCTTGGGTTTACCTTGCCACAACCAAGCAACCGAGGTAACGTCGCAAAACGAGATGCTCGCGAAGTAAGGATACACAAGCGAACCGTACTTCACTTCGTCATTTTATTGTCCCTGCAGGAGGAAGCGTGCGAAATATTCAAGCATTCCAAGTGTTGCAATCTGTATTCGTGAAGTCTAATTCACCGCTTCTGTGTTGCACCATACTGGACGCGATATCCAGCGTGTACCACAGCGACAACGCGAATTATTTTATTCTCGAGGGGCAGAACACCCTGTCCCAGTTCGCGGAGAAGATCCACCTGAAGAATCCGGAGATACAGGAGAAATTCTTTCAACTGTTGGAATTTATTGTTTTCCAACTTAATTTCGTTCCGTGCAAAGAACTCATATCGCTGTCCATTCTATTGAAAACGAACAATTCAGTCTCTTGCAGTATCATGTGCATGGAAACTCTCCTCAATATATTCAGGTAACATACACGGAGAGAATTTCCTTTCAAATTTAACCTGAAAATTTTGTTTATCGTAGGACAGCATCAGTATTTTACGACCAATTTTACTGTACATTACAATAAATTTGTTGTAGTATATATTTAAAAAAAAAGTAGAAATCATATAAAGTTCGTCAAAATATCATGTGGTCCTACAACTAACATGATTTTCGGGGTAAATTTTGAACTAAAATTCTCTCCCGTGTACGCTAAGGGTAAATCGGGAGATTTTTATTTTAAAATACATCTGAATAATAGAAGGAATATCGACGCGCGATATTTTAAATAAAATCTCGCTCGTTTCAGACACAACACTATATTTAAAGATGTTTATAGAGAGGTTGGTATGCTAGAAGTCTTTGTGACTTGTCTTCATCGGTATGCAACATTACTTAAGGATAAGCAGGCTGCGATCGATCAAGGATTAGGTAATTCTTCGTCAAAGATACAGTCATGTATATGTGAGCTTTCGCACGCGAGTTCTCTGACGATTCGACGTTCGGTTTTTTTTTTTTTTTAGAATACACGATATGCCCCGAGGACGAACGGTTGGGTGCCTTAGTAATGGAGGCTTTAACAACATTATTAGCGGGTAATGTTCAAAACGCGAATGTCTTTAGAGAATGCGGAGGCGCGCGCTGCGCTCATAATCTAGTGCCCTATGTAGACTGCCGGCATCAAGCGCTCGGTATCGTGAGAGAATTGATACTCAGCGCGGGCGGTGACGACGACATGGCGACACTGTTGGGAGTTATGCATTCGGCACCTCCTAATGCCTTGATTTTAAAG